CGTGGTGCGGCGTAAAGTCGATACACTGTCAACGTTTCGGCATGACCGAGATTAAGGCAGCTGCATCAACACAACACACAAGCAAATAGCCAACCATGTATATAGATAGTTCAACTCAGATGTGCGCGCGGCCCTATGTGTGGGTAAACCTTGTACATATACAGTGACTTTGTGTGCGTGACAAGAGGTACAGTCGTACAAATACAAATATAGTTATTTACGGGTTATATACGGATTTAAAAAAAAAGAGTTATTTCGTAATGTAATGTTTATTTATTGAACATTATTCTGAATCGCTACTTGAAAAATCAAATGATGAATTTTCGGATTCGCTGCTCTCACCAAGGTTAATTATGAATTCTGACTCCATGTCAAAATGTCTATAGTATTCTTCTTCTTTCTTTTGTACATGTCGACAAGTATTACCCCACATCCCTTCATCAATTTGACTTAAACGTTCATTTATGAGTTTCATTATTTCCGTCACATTTTGGTCGACATTATGCGAAGCAATATAATTCTTTAAAATTCCCCACACATTTTCTATGGGGTTTAGTTCAGGATGATATGGTAACAGTCGAAGAATTTTTATGCCATGTGGCTGAAGTATGTCGTCAATCTTGTAACAGATATATTTTCCTTTATTTTTTTTATTCAAATCATACAGTTCAATTTTTTTCATATCTTGATTAAAAGCTATATTTTTTTCTGTCAGCCATCTCTGCATTTCTATTTTTTTGGAATTAGAATTTGGGGCTCTGTCATTTTGAACGTTATGGTATGAGGCATTATCAAGCACAACCACAGAGTTAGGGGGAAAATTCGGTACTAAACGTTCTTTTAGCCACTTTTCATAGTTTTCTGCGTTCATGTTAGAGTGGTAATCACCAGAAACACTATTTGCTTTGTATGTCAATAGTGCGTTAGGTACGAAACCTTGTTCTGAACCAGCATGCACAATGATAAGTCTTTGTCCTTTCGACAGGTTTCTCTTTAAAGGTGGTCCATCTTTATTACCCCATCCTTTGTTTTGCACATGATTAGTTAAGATGTAGCTCTCATCTGTATATACGATACACCGATTTTCTTGACGGTAACTGAGTAAATTTTTTAGGTAGGAGAATCGTAGTTTTTGGATGTCATGCCGCTCTATAATAACACGTCTGTTATCCACAGTTTTTCGCCATTTGTATCCCAACTTTAACAAAGCTGTACGCAGAGTCGAAATACTTCCATCATAGTTAAGTTTATCTTGAAATATTCTTTTCAACTTTAGCAAGGTAGGTAACTCGCGATGATCTAAATGGTTATTTTGAATAGTGGAACGTATAACATCAACGTTAAAGTTGTCTAATTCTAACTCTTTTAAACGTTTTTTACGGTCTTTATGCGGAGATTTAAATTTAGAGTCAGATTCTTTTCCTTCAGCCAATATATTAGTAATTGTTCTCTCTGATACCCCCACTGCCATTGCTGTTCTTTTCCGTACGCTATTTAAATGTTCACTTAATTTCGATATTAAAATTGGACTTGCACTGCAAACTGGATCACTTACTAGTTCCAATATATCTCTCGCATCTATTTTTAGAAATTCGTATACCTTAGCAATATTTTCTCGAGTCTAAAACAATAATACGTAAAAGTCAACAAGGATATGTTTTTTCGTATATAGAATCATAATAAATATTAATTACATCTAAATTTAAAAAATATTTACCTGACTCCTTAAACATTTTCTCCGTGAAGAACTAGACATTTTCGTAAACGACTGTACCCTTAAGAAAAAGCGATAAGTACACGACTTGCTCGGACGACGACTGCCGCGTCACTGCCACACGAATGAAAGTTGTATATTTACAAGCCCACGCACACATAGGGCCGCGCGCACAACTGAGTTGAACTATCTATACTTAGAGTAAGTTTAGTATATAAGATATATTATTATGTAAATAAATCAGTCATTTTGTCTAATCCGACTTTGACTCATTACCCTGTCCCACCTCTCATTACGGCCAAGACACTTTTAGCCGTCAGTAGATCGGTCTTATGAGTCTGCTGGACCGGCAGTGAGAAAATCATCTCCTAAACCCCGCTCCCTTCACGTCTCCGTCTGTTACCCTAGGTCTCCAGGTAACAGACTTCCCGCACTATCTATTTATGTATATATACCCTCAGCGCAGGGTCACATATTGGTAGGGCTAGGGAATTTAGGGATTTAGGTACGTAGGCGTAGGTTACGTACGAGTATTGCTCGGTTCACTACGGTGCCCGCTCGATACACGTATTTAGTTTCAAATTAAGATAGGCTTTCGGTGTTACACGTACGAGTGCTGATTGGTATACCACGGTTGCCCGTCCGCACCCGTACAGAGAATGCTGATAAACGCCAATAAAGTAAATGCCAATAAACGTTGTAAAACAAATCAGTTCTGAAGATTTAAGAACCGATGATGATGGTTCATACAAAAACGATTGATATCAGTATTACATTTCAATAAAGGAAATCAGTTATTAATATACTTATGGTTTTCTTCCGTAATTACTAAAAAAATGTTTAGTGGAAAAAAATTCTGGTGGTTTAGTGTTGAATGGTGGATGTGGCTAATGGGATCACTTTCAAACCAAAAAAGGCACATAACGACTTCTAAACTATTTATTTTGAACTTAACATTTTGAATTTATTTATGGATATCTATATATATAAAAGAAAGTCGTGTTAGTTACACTATTTATAACTCAAGAACGGCTTTACCGATATGGCTGAAAATTGGTGAGGAGGTAGCTTAGAGCCAGGAGACGGACATAGGATACTATTTATTCCGTTTTTTTTTTTGTATCGGCGTCGATCACCAGATGACAACGGTGGAACTGTCACAACAAAAGTGAAAAGAATGGATTTCGTTGTCGACAACTGTTGGATTGTTCCATATTCACCACTATTTCTAAAACGTTTAAGACACATTGCAACGTTGAGTATTGATCGGAAGACCATCTGCGTCGTTTGTTTTTGCGCCTGATAAGAAAACAAAAAATGTCGTGTATCACAAGGTACTTAAGTGAAGAGCAAGAAATGCAGAAACAATTATAAATGATTAATGTACTTCATTTTTTTTCTAAGAAATAAATTAACTTACTAAATTCGAAAATCGGCTTATTTATTGCCTTTAAGGCGGAACAGAGTTCGCCGGGTCAGCTATCTATATATATAAAAGAAAGTCGTGTTAGTTACACTATTTATAACTCAAGAACGGCTTTACCGATATGGCTGAAAATTGGTGAGGAGGTAGCTTAGAGCCAGGAGACGGACATAGGATACTATTTATTCCGTTTTTTTTTTTTTGTATCGGCGTCGATCACCAGATGACAACGGTGGAACTGTCACAACAAAAGTGAAAAGAATGGATTTCGTTGTCGACAACTGTTGGATTGTTCCATATTCACCACTATTTCTAAAACGTTTAAGACACATTGCAACGTTGAGTATTGATCGGAAGACCATCTGCGTCGTTTGTTTTTGCGCCTGATAAGAAAACAAAAAATGTCGTGTATCACAAGGTACTTAAGTGAAGAGCAAGAAATGCAGAAACAATTATAAATGATTAATGTACTTCATTTTTTTTCTAAGAAATAAATTAACTTACTAAATTCGAAAATCGGCTTATTTATTGCCTTTAAGGCGGAACAGAGTTCGCCGGGTCAGCTAGTAATTTATAAAAAATACACATGTTACTGCTCCAAGCAATGACAATAATAATAATCAAGAATATGACAATTTAGTCTCAACAAATAAAACAGACATTCCAAATTTAAAGTAATTTAAACCTTTATGTAGTATAAAAAAAGGTTGTTGCAGAAAGTGTGGGTAGTGCTAGTGTATGTAATAATAGAGATTCGCGCAGTGCAAGCGTGTGTGAGATTGTTGTAAGGGGGAAAGGATTTAATGTTTTGTGTTGGGTTTTCTGTACTTGTCTGGTGCTATGATGCATATTTGAGATTAAGGGGGTGTGTTGATTGGTAATCTCAGAGTATACATACTCTTTTGATGTCAACTCTGATCTGTTTGGTTTATAATACATAAAGGTTTAAATTACTTTAAATTTGGAATGTCTGTTTTATTTGTTCAGAATAAATTGTCATATTCTTGGTCACTGTATGGTCACTATTATTGTCATAGCTTGAAGCAGTAACATGTGTAATTTTTTATAAAATTATATCCATAAATAAATTCAAAATGTTAAGTTCAAAATAAATAGTTAGTCTTTAAGTGCCTTTTTTTGGTTTGAAAATGATCCCATTAGCCACATCCACCGTTCAACAGAATCTGGTATAGAGTTCATTTAACTGTTAGCAATACTGGTATTACTGTGTATAAAGGATGGTATGCTGGAATACAAGACGAATTACCGATTAAACCTTGGTATCATAATTTCAAATATATCACAAGAAAATTTATAACTGTTATATCACGTATGAGATTGGGACATTGCTCAACACCAGCTCACCTGTATAGGATTCGCATAATTAACAATAGCCGATGTAATTATAAATGTATATTTCAATTAGTTAAATACTGTAACGATGATATCACTGAGATGTACCCAGCCAAACTTAAAGGGCGGCAAGTTGGTTACATGAAAAACATATTCATATGAAAACAGAATGAATCCTATGTTTATTAATATGGTATATAATGAAAAATGTGACTTAACAATAAGTATCTTCAACTACCATACTATCCTAAGTAAGTTTAAACCCATCTATGTTTTCGACTGAAAGACTTGTATCTATAGTCATGAATAAAAAAAAAAAAATGTGTATAAGGTTACTGCGGCGCCGACTATCTGATTGATATGTGCTGTCATGTGTTCTGTGGCGGCGGCGCCGCGACCATAGATAATACACTAATATAAGTTAGCCGCGACAATAACAGAAAAAGTAGATAGTGAAAAATTAAAAAAAAAATTAAGATACCTACATGAAAAATATCTACCGAAATCATGATGGAACCTGCAAACGAGGAAACCGTTCAATGTTTTTTCTTCTCATTGGCGCAAGGTTCCAACAGTTTGTTATGGGAAGAATTATGTGAAAAGATTAATGATACGATTAAAGATTTATCTAAAGAATATATTTGGCAAAGGGATGAATTTCAAGTATTTATACCGATATCAGACAGCAAAGACACAAGTAAGTTTAGATGTTTTCTTTAATCCTATTTGGCACACTGTGTAAAAATTTAACCTAACCATGTCACTGGACCATGGCGGTTAACAGAGCTAGCTAAAATGATTAAGAAACTATTGAACCAGATACTTCAACTTACGAATTCCAAATATTAGTCACTGCACTGCCTCGCTGTTCCACAATATGATGCATTGATGAGAATTGAGAAGCAAAACTAACCCCAAAAATAGGTAAAAACAATCTTTGAAGCGGTTTGTATATTGTGTCAAATTTTTCGAGTTTTTAAACCAACTTAATATTTATATATATACAGGGTTACTGGGTAAGTCTACCTTAATCCTTTAAGGGGTTGTAGTTGCCATCAATGATGATAGATTTCTCTATGAAATACCATATCCCAAAAATAACCATTTTCAAGATATTGGACTTTTAAGTTTTTTTTATAATAATCGCCCAAATTTTGCCTAATACATTTTTTTTGAGAAAACTGCTACTGTAAAGATAAATAACCCCCACCAATACTTGTTGATAAAGTGGGAAATATCCGACCCCTTCTTAAGATTCTTAATGAACACACCCTTGATATGTATAACCTTAAAGTTATTAACAACGACCAAGTGAAAATACAGCCAAAAGATCCAGAGACATACAGGTCCTCAATTCTGCTATTTTATGTTCACGCTAAGCCACTGTCATACCACTAACACGCTATTGAGATGCCATCGAGTGGCTATTGGCATTGGTATAAATATTGGTAGTCTACACTAACTCAGTGTCTTTCTCTACCTCTATCACCACTGATGAGCCACTGCCATTCCATCGCCACGGAACTATCCTCCGATCATTCCCTGGTAGAAATAGTACTAAAGAGAAAAATTTAAAGACGGACAACGACATAACAGAAGCGGTAGAACATTTCAATAACTGCGTCCAACAATCTGCCTGGTCTGTACCCCAGCTGCCTCAGACTCCTATCATAAACAAGATTACCCAGCACCTGTAAGGGAACTATTAGCTGATAAACAAAAAGCTCGGAAAAAGTGGCAAACAACAGATTATCCTACTGGTAAAAAACATCTAAATTATCTTCAAACAAAACTAAAAATTCTGCTAAAATCCAATAAAAACCAAGGCATACAAACATTTCATCTTTGTACATTACATGTGTTGAAATTACTTTATAAAGTCTGTAAAAGCCTGGTGTACAAATAATGTATTTATCTATCTATCTATTTCTAGAAAACCTTGATATTACAGCTGAGACAAATTACTGTTTGTGGTCACTAAAAAGCTTAAACGCCCAGCAAGTAATCAACCTCCTATCCGTAAAAGTAACTAAGAATGAACTTCTAGCGATGCGGAAAAAGCTGCTACATTTGTTGAACATCTCAAACAGGTCCTCATTCCAAATTCAGATACAGGCTCTTCTAAAATCCAAGAAGTCACAGAATTACTGGGTCAAACCCACCAACTCGATCCTCCCATTAATAAGCTCACTTTTAAAGAAATAAAAGTAGCAATTAAAGCTCTAGATACAAATAAAACTCCTGGTTACGACCTTATAACAGGAAAAATTCTAAGAGAACTGCCAAAGGAAGGGATTAAATTTCTCACTTTCTTGTGTAACGCTATCCTACGAAGAGGAAAGGTCTCTCCGCAATGGAAAATAGCCCAAGTTATAATGGTTCCTAAGCCTGGAAAAAATCCAGTTGAGGCTCAATTACACAGATCTATTAGCCTGTTACCCATACCCTCAAAAATCATGGCGATAGTTATTTGCATAGATATAGAATACCATAGATTGGTTGTGCATTTCAATAAGCGAGACCAAAAAAGAAATGCAATGGTGTGCATCAAGCATGTGTGTCTAACATGCTAGTGAAGCGCCTTGCAAAATTATTTTTTTCGATAACCTGTACCAACTGGTATAAATAAATCCACAGGGATTCAGAGTTACGTATTTAGTGTGAATAAGTACAAGAAAACTACAAAATTAAAAAGACAAATCTTTATTGATATAATTTTTAGTGTATACACAAAAACAATGGACTGTTTAAATGTTTAATTTGTTAATTAAGTGATAATAATATTACGCAATACCTATTGCTCGTTGTTTTAGAAACATGAATATTTAACCACAAACAATATTTAATCAAAAACAGCACTGTAAGCATGTATATGATTCATTTTCCTCCAAACAATATTAATTTATTATAGAAATGTCTCAAACTTTCTATGGTTGCATTACACAAGTTTGCCTTATATTTAATTCTAATAGACACATATATAATATAATCAGTTTAATTATCTGGTCTGTTCACCATTTTTAACCATTTTCCTCGAATGTCTGCATTTTGTGAAAATCTGTAACCATATGAAATTAACATAATTAAAATGCTAAATAGTATAGAATGGTTTTAATAAAATTAATTGATGATTATTATTTGATCACTGTGACTATTATCGATATTGTCACTTCAAACTTCTAGGTATGTGAGGTTAGAAACAACATAAATTCACGTATTTAATAATTCTTTTTTTAAGATGCGAAAGCATCTTAATTTATAATTAAACTAGGGGATGGAGTTACTCACGTCCGTAGGAACTACCACCTTTCCTAGGCCCACCCTACACGTGTCCCCCGGGTGGTGCAAAACGAGTAACAACGCCGAGTCTCAGGCGGCGGTAAAGTATCCTGAACAATATGAGCTAACAACTCATACTAAGCTGATAGAAGGAAATGTCTATCAGCGGTCGTAAATTCGTTGTCAAGTCTAGCGAAAACGATGGCCTTGGCTTAATTGCCTGGGTCTGAGGAAATAACCTCTTCAAAAATTCCTAATCCTATGGTGTGACCGTGCCCAAAGGATGAATGGCTGGTGGGAGACCAGTCTCAAGCGCAAACCTCGGAGTATCGGGCAATCTCCGTTGTACAAGAGCCTTCTTATGGGAATGGGACCCTACTCGTGGGAACAACATGGCAAATGTAAATACCAATAATACAAATTCACCTAAAATCTTAACCCAACAAATATTTCACAAAGGCCTCTTCACAAATAAACCAAGATCAAACTCTTGTGGAAAGTCACCTGTAAAAGACACTAGTGAGCCAATTGATTTGGACAAGGAAGAAACACAATGCAATACCGCTGCAGAGCCCTGGGAAGATGTCACAGGACGAAAAAGACAGCACAGCCCAGAACAATGTTTGATAAGCCAAAAACAAGCAAAACTCAAATGCTACTGGTTGAGTGCACCTGTTTCAACTTCCAACATATTTACTGGCCTTGAAGATGAAAGCTCTGTGAGAGTAGAGAAGCCTCATAAGCCTCCGCCAATATTTGTTGATAAAGTCAGTAACATCCAGCCATTAATTAATATGCTTGAAGTTACAATACCAGGAAATTTTGAAATTAAAGTACTACAGTCGGAGCGAGTTAAAATTCAGGCAAACACTGCTGAGTCTTACAAAATTATGTACAAAGAGTTGAAAAAAAGGAACACTGAATTCTTCACCTACCAACCCAAAGATGAACGTAGCTTTAGAGTAGTCCTAAAACATATGCATCCTTCTACTGATTTAGAAGAAATCAAATTGGCACTTGAAGATCTCCAGCATGAAGTAAGGAACATCTGGAACATCAAACATGGACAAACGAAAAAGCCGCTCAGCATGTTCTTTATCGACCTAAAACCGCAGGCTAATAATAAAGATATTTATAAATTGAATAGCATACTCAATTGTAGAGTTACGTTTGAGGCTCCTAGACCCAAACGAGACATCCCACAATGCTCTAATTGTCAGCAATATGGACACACCAAAAATTTTTGCCATAGACAACCAAAGTGCGTTAAATGTGCAGGTTCTCATCGCACACCTGACTGCTCCAGGAAGGAACGTTCCGATAAGGTGAAGTGCATCCTCTGTGACAGTAACCATCCTGCGAATTACAAAGGTTGTAAAGTCTACAAAAGCTACAGAAAATGAAATACCCAGCCCCACCTCCAAAGAAACCCTTAAAGTCACCCCTAAATTCAAAAATAACTCGGCCAACTGGAGCAACTAACCCAACATATAGCGAAATAGTACAAAACAACTTACCAACAAAAGACATCACAGACACACAAACAACGGAATCTTTCTTGCTAAAGTTAAATGAAACAATGCAAGCTGTTATGAATCAGATGTTAATAGTCACAGAACTGCTAACAGAACTCACGTCAAAATTGACTTCACATTCCAACCACTAAATATATGTGTGTGGAATGCAAATGGCCTGTCAAATCACTCTGAGGAGTTAAAATTATTCCTAAAAATAAAAAAAAATAGATATAATGCTAATTTCAGAAACCCACTGTACAAGCAAAAGCTATTTCAAAATACAAGGGTAATCCCTGTACCACACTATGCACCCAGATGGCAAAGCCCACGGTGGCGCTGCAATCCTGATAAAGGCAAATATCAAGCATCATGAGTCCTCACCCTACTCAAAGGAATATCTGCAAGCATCATCCATCGTGGTATCCGATTCAATCAACAAATTAACTTTGTCAGCCGTCTACTGTCCACCAAGACACACCATCAAAAATACTGAGTTTGCTGATTATTTCCGTTCTTTGGGGCCGAGATTTGTCGCTGGAGGTGATTACAACGCCAAACACACGTACTGGGGTTCAAGGCTGATACTACCTCGCGGTCGTGAACTACAGGTAAATTAGCTTGGAGAATTTTTTGCGTTTGTAGTATTGTATGGTACGGACAGCGTAAACTGGTTTCCACTTTCCACTATCAAGTGACGATTTTTTGCTTTAGATTGAAATATCTCGGACACGGTGCGTCCTAGGCCAAAAATAACAAAAATTTTGACCCCCCCGGAGTTTTAAAAACCTAGGTGAAAGGAAAAAAAAAATTTAAATATCGGTCTCTCCTCTTTGAAGTTTCACTTCTATCGTGTGTGAATCGCACACACACCTTTTTTTTTATAAAGTCAAAACCTTTTTCTTTAAAATAAAAACTTGTTTTTATTGAAAACAAAAATCAGAGTGTTGCTAGGGATAAGTATAAAATTAAATAGTAATGTTAGGATATCGAAACATTTTTGTATAGGCCAGAACGATATAGTGGAAACGCGCTCTTAAGATCTGAGTAATATACACACCACTACATATGCAAAAATTTCTCGAGACTAATTTCACTGTACTTAGATGCGTCCAAATGAACAACATGTATGTTCTCTCATCAGGCCATCCCACATACTGGCCAACAGATCCCAAGAAAATACCAGATGTCATCGACTTTTGCGTAATTAAGGGAATAGCCAAAAATTATCTGTCCTGCCAAAGCTGTTTGGACTTATCATCGGATCACTCACCAATTATTATTAACCTTTCTACCACCTTAACAGCGGAGAAACCTAGGTGCAATCTACACAATCGTACAACAAACTGGTCACTATTCCGGCACTTAATTGATACAGCATTGGTTGAACCAGCTAGACTAAAGACTGAGGATGACATAATTTATGCAGTCGAACATTTTACAAGGTCTCTGCAAGATGCTGCTTGGGATTCCACACCATTGGCAGGAAAAACTGGGGAAGATTTGCCCATAGCCCATCACCTTCTAGAGTTGGTAGCACAAAAGAGAAGACTGAGGAAACGGTGGCAACTATCACAATGCCCACAAGCGAAAAAGCTGTTTAATCATGCCATCAGGAAACTCAAGAATGCAACCACTCGAGATCGTAATTTGGCCTTTCAATTGCATCTGAGCGGTCTGGATGCCTCCGCATCATCAGACTACTCGCTGTGGAAAGCTACTAAGAAAATTAGAAGACCTACTAATGTCTCCCCAGCCTTGCGTGCACAGGACGGGAGATGGGCTCGTACTGATGCCGAAAAAGCAAACACTTTCTCTGTCCACCTACAATCCGTTTTCAAACCCCATCCAAATGAAGGTACACCCGAACATGAAAGAGAGGTATCTAACTACTTGGCGGAGGAAGACTCAAGCGCCGAAATAGTTGACAACATGCCCAATTTCAATAAAAATGAAGTGGTACGGGCTATAAAAAAGATTGGCTCAAAGAAGGCCCCGGTTTCGACCTTCGAGTAGGCTGCTGGCCGAACTGCCAGACTCTGGAATGACTATGCTCACGTCCATTTATAACAGCATGACAAGACTCAGATTTTTCCCTCCACAGTGGAAAGTAGCCAAAATAATAATGATCCCTAAGCCCGACAAGGCTCTGGAAGATCCTAAATCCTACAGACCTATCAGTCTACTACCGATTCCTTCGAAAGTTTACGAGTCGTTCCTATTTTTTTTTTTTTTTTTTTTTTTTTTTATTCAAAAAGACAACTCCCGCATTAGGAATAAATCCTGTGTCGCGGGGGACCTTACAAACATACATGAAACGGACACAAAGAACACCCAGACTCAGAACAACAATTTGTGGATCACACAAAGTGTCGTCCCATGTGGGGTTTGAACCCACAACACTCGGCGTAGTAGGAAGCGGCGTGGCGACCGCTTAAACCACTACGCCATCCGTGCAGTCCTATTAACTCGCATATTACCAATAATTAAAACAAAACATCTGGTTCCAGACCATCAGTTTGGATTTCGTCATAAGCATGCTACTATCGAACAAATTCACAGACTTACAGTCGAAATACATAAAGCGTATGAAGCCAAAAAATACTGTACAGCTGTCTTTTTGGACATCTCGCAGGCCTTCGATCGGGTCTGGCACCAGGGTTTGCTTTACAAAATTAAAAAATCGATGCCCCATCACCTGTTTTGTATGATCAAAGCTTTCATAACTAATCGTCACTTTATGGTTCAGTGTGGAAACGAGATGACAAGCCTTTGCCCCATCCTAGCCGGGGTTCCACAGGGAAGTGTAATTGGTCCGATCCTCTACCTGCTCTACACCTCGGATTTACCCACCAGTGAAAAAATTACAACAGGTACTTTTGCTGTCGACACAGCCATTTTGGCCACCCATAGTCAGCCAGAAATCGCAGCCAAACTACTACAAGAAGGTTTGAATAACATAGCCGACTGGCTAAAAAGGTAATGAATCGCGGATCAAAGCTAATGAAAGCAAGTCGGTCAACGTTACTTTCACCCTGCGAAGAGAGCACTGTCCACCAGTGACACTGAATGACGTAGAAGTCCCTCGGGCAGATCACGTGAGGTATCTTGGACTGTACCTCGATAAACGTCTTACCTGGAAGAAACACATTCTTACCAAGAGAAAACAGCTTGGTCTACAGCTGAGAAAACTTTACTGGCTCATTGGTTGTAAATCCCAGTTATCAAGGGAAAACAAACTTCTAGTATATAAAGCCATCCTCAAACCTGTGTGGACGTACGGCATACAACTATGGGGAACAGCCTCACACTCCAACATAGAGATCTTACAACGTTTTCAAAACAAAGTGCTGCGCATAGTTACTGGTGCCCCATGGTTTGTGACTAACGAACAACTGCACAACGATCTGAAGATGCCTACAATCAGGGAGGAAATAACTAGACACACTAAGGCATACAGGGACAGAATATCAGACCACCCAAATATATTGGCCCAACCGCTTATGGACAACAGTTTGAAAATCCGTAGGCTAAAGCTGAGAATCCCCCAGGATGTGCTGTGATAAGAGCACATTATAACTAGAACAGGGTACGGCATTGGCCGCATCCCTGCACGCGACTTACAATTTATGCCCAATCTATCGCTTAATGTCCTGATAAAGAGACAGATTGCTGTATTAAAGATGAACAAAAAAAAAAAAATTAAACTAAACGAGATAATATTCCCTACCGCTTGATACATAAAATATACGATATCGCATTGAAACAAAGCTTATTTAGAGGCAAATATGGCATTATATAAAACACGCTTAATAAATAATAAACCACAACAAAATACTCAAGATTCTGAAAAAATAACAATACTGTTTCGACCTCGACGGGCGCTAGGACGATACAGGCTCATAGCGTATCGGTGTTTGATCTCGTTTATCTGTCGCGCTCTAACACATGTAAACTCGTATTGTCTCTTTTCCGCATAGTCAATCTATTAGTATTCTATATCTATGGTTATTTGGCATAGATTATCCCCGATTATTGCCGCAAACAAATTACTACCTGACCATGTCCACCCGTCACTCTCAGTAGCATACCTCTACCGCAAGAGGATCACGTCAAATATCTTGGAATATACTGCAAGAAGCATATTTTCACGCAGCGATTAGCCAACAGTTGCGCACTATGTACTGGCTACTAAAGAATTCCGACTCTTACTTCAAAACAAACTATTGCTGTATAAATGCATAATAAAACCCATATGGACATATGGCCTACAATGGGGAACAGCAACAAAATCAAACATTGAAATAATACAGAGATTTCGTTCAAAAATACTAAGGATATAATAGTAACGAACGCACCTTGGTATGTCTAAAATATTAGACTCCATCACGACCTCTGCGTCAAAAGTGTTATGGAAGAAATCTCGGAAAGGACAAAAGCGTACAAGAAGCGAATCCTAACTAACCATCCAAATATGCTGGCAGTCAATCTAATGAACACCCAAACATTTGCTCGTAGACTAAAAAGAAAAATTCCTTAAAACCTCTTAGAGGCACAACAATAAACGAAGTCTTCACTGGACGGCTTTCGTTCTATCCCTTTAATAATGAAATATTATACATATTGCTGAATATCTGCAGAATTGATAGATTGCAATAGAAAAAAAAATTATCATCAAAGGTGTGGATGTGCTTACATACCCATGTTTTACCAATTATAAAGTTTCTTTGGGACTTTAAAAAAAAATAGGCAAATAGTGAGTGCATTTACGGGAGAAGATAGACAAGATGGCAAGGATATTATTCAAATGGGTGGATTGTAAGCAAAAGCTTGAGAAGCTCAAGGTTGCATACTTAAAACTTAAAGTTGTTATTGTTAGGAATTCTAATATGAATGAAAATTTAGTCGATTTTAAGATTTTCCATTCTATAATATGTTTGAAATATTATATTAGTTTACGACTTTTATTGCAGATATCCCTTTTCATCTATGCAGTATAACCTGTTTTGGGGATAATATAGAAGATGAATGGTTTATTGTGCATCTTGTGTTGGAAATATCTAAACTATATCCAAATTTAATTATACACATAAAAGACAATGATGGGGACTTCCTTCTCATAGAGGCAGCAGATAATTTACAGACTTGGGTTAATCCAAGTAATACTGATAATCGGGTAAGACAAATTCAAACACGAAATTTAATTAATATTAATAATCCTGTTACTGTAATATGTCATCATCGTCAGCCTGTCGCAGTCCACTGCTGGACATAGGCCTCTGACATTGTAGGCCACTTCAATTGATTTTTGGCTTCTCAAATCCAGCTTCTTTCCAGCCATCTTGCTCAGTGCCACCTTAGTGTAAGACGCCCATAGGCCACCTGGCCCGTGGGCGTCTTACACTACGAATTTACAAATCTGAATCAATAATTACATTATGTATTTGCAACTTACAGGTTTTTATATATAGAGGTCACATTCATCTTATTCCACCAAAAGTAGCTCCATTACAACCTAAGCTTGAATTGAAAGCAGCTATTAAAATCATTGAAGAATCCTCTGAATTAACACAAGTATCTTGTGCTATTGAACAGGCTATACTAGATAGGATTGGCAAGTATCCAGAAAAGCTCTTAGAAAATATCCATAGAACTGCAGTACAAATACCTTCTCATATAGCGGCTCTCTTGATACTAAAGCCTTCTCTTATTGCACCTATAACAAATGCTTATAGTAATTCTGATGTGATTGATGCAAAGTGTTGTAAAGACATTGATTTCAGTAATTGTGTAAATGTTGAAGTAACATTTACAAAGTTTTTGTATGCAATGCTTTTGCATTCCAAATTTATTAACAGCATTAAACACTATGAATTTATTAATGATAAGAAAAGTATTTTGGGAGCTAAGATAACATGTGGATATCAAATAATTATGAACAAAGCCTCAACAGACTTGTTTAACTCAAAAGCATATAATAAATTTTTATCAAACTTAAAACAAAACGGCTATTTCCAAAATAATATTGAAGGATCTATAGGCTATAATAACTTGTTAAGAAAAGCAAAAGAATATTTTTCAATTGTAGAGTGTCCTATAAGTTCTCATGTCTCTGATAGTATATCTCAACTTATGTCATCATCTGACTATTTAAGAATTAAAGACTCAATCAAAGATATATGTGTAGAACCTGGGTATATAGGTGACACTGAAGATTGGCTAAATATACATCCAGAACAATTAAATGATTTACTGCTGAAACGCTATGGTAAGATAACCACATTAAAAAATAATGATGTAATATCTTCCACAACTTTAACTACAGAATTATCATCATTCCTAAAACAAACATCTGATTATGAAGGCATAGAATCGCATTGTAATGAGATAATTGAAGACTCTATTGAGTTTGAACCAGATCAGTTTGTTTCATGTATAGAAAAGATGTTAAATGTATTAAGTACAGGAGACGACGAAAATACTGAAAGTGAAGAAAGTGATCAAGATTATGATAACTTTCAATATCATGATAATGGCTGTGATAAAGAGCTAAGAGCTAAACTTCAAACTAATCAAACAGAAAATCCTCAAGAAAACAATACTATACTGTCAAATATTATTCAGAGTATTAAAGAAGAAAAGTCAATAGGGCCCACTAGTAACCTGCTGAGGTCATTTGGTGTACATAAATCTGAATTACTAGATTCTGATGATGATTAAAAAGAAAATGAATGTAAATCAGGATACACATAAACAGTTATGTCAGTTGGATACACATTCTCAAAACAAATCTTTTTATTTAAGTTGTCAAAAAAGGATGTAACTAAGTAAAAAGAAATTGGAATAAAATAATAGAAATATGAAAAAACTTTCGATTTATTTTTAGTAACAACTTTTTACAACTGTAATTATATGTAAAACCTTCACCAATTCTTCAGAATACACAATTCACACAGATTCTGAAAGCTCACACCGACACCAAATGCAATTATACCACATTTTCATTTTTTTACCTATCTATGTCCTTTTAAATGTTATTTTTTTAAGCAACTAAGAAAGATGGAGTATCAATTTTAGTTAAGTAATAAATAAATAATTGAATAGTCACGATCTGGCTGCAACCCACTGAATTGAACTGGCAAGTAAATTTCGCCGCGTATTGAAGGAGTGGTATATTGCGTTTCTTTTATTTTGAATTAACAATTTTATTTTACAACTATTTATTATAAATGCGCATATGTTCCTCCTGCTGCCACTATGGTTTCTCCTGTAATGTAACTGGCATCATCAGATACTAAAAATGCCACAGTACTTGCGATCTCTGAGGGTTTACCAAATCTTTTCATTGGCACTATGGATAAGGTTTTTTCTTTGATTACTTCTGAAGTTGTAATCTAAAAAGAAAATAGCACATGTAATGTACACACTTGCTATTGCAATAATTTATAGAAGGTGTAAATAAACACTCACCGCTGAAGCAAACTTGGTAGCAACTATTCCTGGAGCAACACCATTTACTCTAATATTATTATGAATAACCTCATTTGCTATTGCTTTAGTTAATCCCAAAAGAGCCGTCTTACTAACACTGTAGGGGCCTAAAGGCTAAAAAATAAATCCATTGTTATTAGTTTATTACTGTGATACAGTATTTCATTACAGATCATTACAGTGCCAGTATTAGCATACACAAGAATATTTTAAGACATGGGTGGCATTTTGTTAGATATTGTATTATTGTATGGAGATAAATCGGGTTTATATTCATTACCAAGCTACACTTAAATAATTCAAGTAGTTAAGTATTATATTTATTTATTTTTTTATTAAATGTCAATCAACCATGTCCTTAAAGATACGGGTCCCTCTTTATTGTGTGCGTTACCCCAGCAAAATAATGTCGAAAATGGTCATTTAAACGTTATAGATAATTAGTTGCTCCCCTTCTGTAATTGTTAGGCACATGCTTAAATTTGTTTCACTTAAACTTTTTTAGTTATTTCAAAAAAACATTTCCTGCTGGGATAACGTTTGAAACGTTACCGCAGCCAGACATTTTCTTTTTTAATTGTAATATTGAAATAAATGTTAGCTAAATAATTAGTTATCTGAACTAGGTAAATGTTACAACTTATTTGGTATTTGTATTTTCTTCGGCTGCGTAGTTATTCGAGATCCTGCTGGAGTAACGTTTGTGGGTTTTCTGAATCTCTGAAACGGGTAAGCGGATTGTAACCATTTTTTGTCCATAACTTCTTAAGGATTAGTTTTAATTTGTTCAACAATAAAATAACAAAAATAATGGACCGTTTAAAAATTATTTAGGTAAGTATGAAAACACTTCAATACGTCCTAACACTTTGAATTAGTTCAGTTCAAACGTTATTCTATTGCTTGTAACTACCTTCAAATGTATACGAATTTTCGTAAGAATACTGTAAGTGACTAAAAAGTTATGATGAAATGTAGCTCTCCACGTTCACGATCACAATGTGTGCGGCCTTTTTTGGCCACCGATAAACCTGTGTGTGGATATATAAACTGAATGTTATGCTAATAATTAGTTGTTTAGTTAAGTTGTCTACCTGTAGAATTTCAGCGTCGTACATATAATAATTTACGAGATAATTAAATAAAAGTCATTAGAAGGTGCAAGTCCGTGGTAACCCGACCATGTTTAGGTGGTTACAAAAAAGCGATCACCCAGTACATTAAGCTGTCTTTTAAAATGTTTAGTGTAATACACCTTACGATTTCGGTACAGTTGCGTACAGTGTTAAATACATTCAATATTTATTCATTATATTACCTATTATTTATTTTGTTTTTTTTCCTAATGGATCTTGAGTACTAGTTTCTTTACTTAAAATTTATTTAGTCTTTAACTACCGGAGCTACAATCAACAGAAAATCTGCACTGGCCCGCTAAAATTATAAATATGTAGATACATGTATGAACGATTCACCTGGCTGCAATAAATCGAAAATTTAAACCAATTAGAAATCGTTTCATTTCTTTGATTTTTTTTGTAAAGAAATAACAATGAAGTAATTGTATTTTATTTTGAGGTGTATAGAGCTTAGACTTGAATGCATCAAAATATTTAAATCAACAAGTCATCTACAATAGGTTAAAATAGACCATAATAGTAGAAGAATACAGTTGTAAATTAGAATGCATCAACATTGCATCGCCCAACAGTCGTATACCTCGTAAGAGTGGGTAATATTGTTCTGTGGTCTATACCGAGAACCGAGAATTATCTATACCTATGTACCTACCGCTAAGCGTTGAGCGCGTGACTGTTGATTTCTGTTAAAAACGAACAGTTGTTGAATTTTATTTTGATATTATAACGGTAATTTAATTTATCGAGTGAAAGTGACACATTTTTAAAGATAAAATTATTGATCAGATAATATTTGTCAATCAAGAATCGCCGATAATACATCCTTAGCTAGAACGCGGGAGGGGAGGGGCGAAGGGATACTTCATTGTTTGCAATTTGCATCTGGTGCACTAAACTTGACCCTTAGGCAGATAATATACCTACGTCTTGTCTTAGGATGTTAATTACTAATGCTAATATTAAAATTTCGTTCGGGGTGAACAAATTAAAAACGATCATAACTTGTAGGTAGGTATATCACTTATTACTAATTTTACATAAATAATTTATTTTTTTATAATTTAACTCACCGCGATTTTCTGATCAAATATTTTATTTTCTCCAACATTATTACAGAAATAATGCAATACAGAGTTTGTTCGCGATATACTAGCCTAAGTCGATTCATCACTTAAAAAAAATCAAGAATTTCGTGAATTTCAGTAAATGGATAAATGAAAAGCTAATGCCCAATATACCACCAAATTCCGTCATCGTGATGGATACCGCAGCTTACCATTCGGTTAGAGAAGAAAAAAAGCCGACTATGGCTTCTACCGAGATAGTTATGCAAACATGGTTACGACGACACGACGTGGTTTTCGATGATAAGCTGAAAAAGGACGACTTATCAAAATTGATTAAAAAGACAGAAACTGAAGATATTTATAAAATTTACGAGTTATTGAAAAGAAACGGGCATGAAGTGTTGCGTTTGCCTCCTTATTACCCAGACCTGAACCCTATTGAGTTGGTTTGGTTAGGTTAGTGTAAAAAGTGTGGACTCTAATCTAGACCAAAAAAACTATGTTAGAGGGATTATTTGCTGAATATTCTGCACAGAAGTGGGAGCATTGTGTTAACCATGTAATTAATATCGAAGACGAGTACTGCAAACATGATGGAATTCGGGATGATGCTGTTGATTTTATTATTAACACTCTGGACGACTCTGATGAATCCGATGATGACTCCTTCGAAAGTGAAGAATCAAGTTCCACCGACATTGATATGGACATAACTGATTGAAATATAATTTTGATAATTATTTTATATAATAAATAGTACAATAGTTTATTACCAAATATTTTATTTACGAACCTTCATAGCTTTTAGTTAGTTAATTAAAATTTTGTATTATCATTAATAATTTTTCATTTAATAAATCACTATTTCTTTACTATGACGTCACATATCTTTGGAACTATCTTGGCGCATTTCATCTCGTGTGTATCTCACTAAGCGCCCCCGCCGCCCGCACCTGTCTCAGTCCCCTTTGTCGTCATACCCCCGCGCCCCTGTTACCGCGCAGGCGAGGACTCAGATAAACGGTCGGCCTATAATTATGCAATAAACAATCCTAAATAAAAATGTATTTGTGTTTGTGTTAACATAAACATGTAGTTTTTTGTAACACTTATGTACATATCCGTAGTAAACTTGCAAATAATATCCTACATATTTTAAAAGCCAGCACAATGTACTGGGTGATTGCTTTTTTGTAACCACCTAAACATGGTCGGGTTACCACGGACTTGCACCTTCTAATGACTTTTATTTAATTATCTCGTAAATTATTAAATGTACGACGCTGAAATTCTACAGGTAGACAACTGAACTAAATAACTAATTATTGGCATAACATTCAGTTTATAAATCCATACACAGGTTTATCGGTGGCCAAAAAAGGCCGCACACATTGTGATCGTGAACGTGGAGAGCTACATTTCATCATAACTTTTTAGTCACTTACAGTATTCTTACGAAAATTCGTATACATGCGAAGGTAGTTACAAGCAATAGAATAACGTTTGAAGTAAGTCTTTAGAGGTCTTATTCAAAGTGTTAGGACGTATTGAAGAGTTTTCATACTTACCTAAATAATTTTTAAACGGTCCATTATTTTTGTTATTTTATTGTTGAACAAATTAAAACTAATCCTTAAGAAGTTATGTACAAAAGATGGTTACAATCCGCTTACCCGTTTCAGAGATCCAGCAAACCCACAAACGTTACTCCAGCAGGATTTCGAATAACTTCGCAGCCGAAGAAAATACAAATAAGTTGTAACTAATTATTTAGCTAACATTTATTTCAATATTACAATTAAAAAAGAAAATGTCTGGCTGCGGTAACGTTTCAAACGTTACCCCAGCAGGAAATGTTTTTTTGAAATAACTAAAAAAGTTTAAGTGAAACAAATTTAAGCATGTGCCTAACAATTACAGAAGGGGAGCAACTAATTATCTATAACGTTTAAATGACCATTTTCGACATTATTTTGCTGGGGTAACGCACACCTCTTTATTCACTATTGGGGCTTACCTCCAT